ATATTGAATATATATTAAATATATATATTTAATATACATATTTAATAACATACATCATTATCCACAATATATATATATATATATATATATATATATATATATGATTAAATATATATGTATATATAAGTGTTAATTAAGTATATACATTGTTAATTAAGTAAACTCCCTTTTAAAATCACACCAATTTTAATTGTATTATGCGAAAATACAACAGAAATTATGTAGCAACCTAGTATATGGAAAAAACCATCTATAATATCTACAACAAAATCTAAAAAAAATCTTCTACAACATTATCTCCCTACGTCGAATAAAATCAATTATCGCAAAAATTTCTGCGGAGAATCTGTACGTACAGAAGCAGCTGCTTGTAAACGCGCGATTGTACCTCGTTTCATTCATCGTTTGTGTAATCGGATTCACTTGCTAATAACAACTCGACGATCTCGCCGAGAATGACATCACGATTCTAGATTTCGCGTGACACGAACTGGAAACAATTTCGCATTAATGCTGAAAATACTGCGTGGTGTTAATTCGAGAACGAACATGCGAGACGTCAGACCGTTAGACGCGGAGAAAATTAAGCGGCTCTTACGTTCGATAAAGAGAAAAGAAATTAGAGAGCCAAGATAAGGAAGGGGGAAATCTACTGTTCGCCAGGGATTTCGTTCTGGACGTGTCCATTCGGAAAACGTAGACTTATCAAGTAACGATCCCCACGTATAATGCAGGAACCGTGCGCCGAGTTAGAAAATCGTTTCTATCGATTGACCACCTGCTTACACTGCCCTACCTTATCCTTCGCGCTTTCTTACGTAGTACGCATCTACAGGGTGTCCGGAAAATGTCAACACAGTCGTGGTGTGCAGGTTGGGTCAAACCGAAAACTCCTCTACCATTTTTCACAGAAAATCTCCACGTAAAATCTCGGGATATCAATGAAAGAGAAGAAGATTGGTGAGCCGCGCGATGCCGCGGCACGAGCTCTGTCTCGTGGAAAATAGCTGAGGCAAGACTGTCTGTTAGCGACAGTGGCTATCGGCTGACAGTTGAAGTAATTATGCAAACAGATAATTGTTTCTCGACGTACATACCACGAACGTGTCGTTGAGAAACAGCTGAGTTTCAGTTATTTTCGATAAGAGCTTGCGGAGCTCGTTCCACGACATCGCGCGCTCTCTTCTTTGTCAATCTGTTCTCATTAACATCTTATTTTATGTGATTGTTTGAAAAATGATAGTTAGGATAGATTGAAAGTAAAAGGCAGGTTAATAAAAGCGATCCCTTGTTCGTGATCAGAACGGTTTGAAACGTTTCAAGTGCGCCAGTTTAATTGAGTTTGAGAGTTCTGATATTCTACCTCACACATATCAACTCGGTTGGCTCACGACTCGATTTAATTGCCTTAAATTCAAACAAAATTACAAACTACCGCCAATTCTCGGCAGATGAATTCCTTTTTATTAACCTTGACAGAGCATTTACGAGTGAATCGTCAACGTCAACGTAAAAATGGACTTTCTCGCTCAAGTTGCTATGTTCTACTTGCCTACCGCGGCTCCGTCCGGTAAGTTGCCGGACACCCTGTATACATAAGCGGCACATACATTTGTCCACGTAGGTACAAGTGTATAAGTATACGCTTGATCCGCTGCCAAGAAAACTCTCTACCTCGGCCCCACTCCTATCTCAAATCAAGTTTTCGCTCATATTTTCTCGCCGCCAATATTTCCGCCTTGCTTCCCGCGCTCCGCTCCGGAAAGCTTTGCCCCGGCATATGAAACATCCGCGAATATTCCGGGCAAATAATCCCTGGTCACACGGCACGCGCATTCTCGTAAATCCGGGGCCGAACGTAATTTTCGGACTTTTACTGCGTTTTCCGCGCTCCTGATTTCCATTTCGAAAGTTCCCCTGCAAGTTGCGCGATAAATTATACAGTAAATATTGCGCGACTGCGCCAGCGAAAAACGACGCGGCGGAGTGATTTAAGCTTCGTACGATAAAGCGGGACTCACGGCTTTGACATTTTCGGATTTAAACGCTCGCGAGTCCTTTTCGCTCGAAATCCCCCCGGCACCTCGATATCCTTCGTAATCGTAACGATCTGCACCATTCGTCAGATTTCACTCTTTTAAACTACACGAGAATCTGTTTGTTCCCTCTCCTTCCTTCCTTCCTTCCTTCCTTGCTCCCTCCCTCCCCCTCTCGAATTCAATATACATAATCATGTGAACACAGTTACGACGCGCGCTATCAGATTAATTCCGTTGGCATGCGCTTCTAGACATAGGGACAAACATAGCAGTACAAGATCCACGAGACTGCCGTGCGGAAAATGTATGCGTCGCGAGCGGAGGATATTACATTCGCAAAGACAATGGCGCGAGGGCGCGATCTGAGCGCTGAAACCCTATAGCGTCATCAACGTGTCAATCAATCCCTCTTCACTTGGAAAGTGAGAGAGGGAGAGCAACAGAGAGGCAGAAAGAGAGAGAGAGAGAGAGAGAGAGAGAGAGAGAGAGAGAGAGAGAGGGAGGGAGGGAGG